TATGTGCTGGACTTTATCTCTCTTTCCCACCATTAAGTTTTAAAAAGATCTTTGTTAGTCAGAAAGAGATGTTTACATCCAGTCATACCTCTTTACCTAAACAAGACATTACCATGCTAATACAAGCTATAAGCCATGTTTCCTACTTGGTAACCTGGAAATGTAATTGCAAATTCAATCAGAAGATTAAAAATGAATCCTTGCACTCAGGGGGTTAAAGACACAAGAAGTGAGAACAGAAATGCTCCATTTCCTCCAGAGTCTTGAAAGAAAACATATGTTCAGTAACCATGCTCCAGAATCAAATAAGTTTGAAAGACTGTTTTTCCTCTGCATTTCCTGCCTTCTTGTTCATTAACCTCACTGTAAAATATTGAGTTATTTGCCTGAATTAGTAGTCTTCAGTGTTCTTTGTTCAGAAAACACAGCGTGAAAAGGCAGGCTTTTGCATACAGTTTGGAGGCAAGAGAGGGATCAAGTGGTGATGTGAAATTAGCACAGTCAGTACATCTGAAATTCTACTCAGGACTTGAATTAAACAGAAATCATCAACTGGTAAAACTGCCTGCAGGTCTCTTTTACTTTCACTTACTCTCATTCAGCCTGCAATTAATCTGTGTGCTGAAACCAGCCTCATGATTTCTTCTAATTCTTAACCAAGGGATGCTAAATTTTTAAAAATCAATTACTGCTACCTGCATTCTTTATTTTTGTTGCCATGGTGAATATCCTGCTCCTTCCTGCTCCTTCAATATTTAAAACTACTGTAGTATTGTGAGATTATTACATAGATCTTCATGCTCATTCATGCTTTAATGCAGTGACTTAGTACATCAGAAAGAAGAAACTGCTGACTGCTTTTTTCAATTTGATCTTAAATCATCTCCGGAGATGCTGGTCTGCAATAGGTAACCATATGTTGTAGGTCTCGGAGAGATATCTAGAGAAATATGTAGTCTTGTTCCTTCAAAAAAGTGAGATTTTCTGAAGGACTTCATTTTCCATCTTAGTTTAAAATTCCAAAGCTGTGTGTCAAACTATGTTACTGAATGTTACCAAAAAGTCAGAAGCAATTGAGAGCATGAGCAGTGGGTTTTAATTCTTTAAAGTTGGTGCTCTAGTAAGAAAAACAATTCGGGATGAAAGGAATCAAATTATACAAGAAGAAAGAGCAAGAACTGACTTAGCAGCCATATGATGCTCTACTTTCCTAAGAGGATAGTGGACTAGTGTACCCATCAGGAACGAGGTCTAATGCTTTATCACTGGCTAGAATTGTAGAACACACTTTTGAAAGGTTACCAGCTAAATTCAAGCAGGAAGGAAGGCGACCGTAAGAATGTACTCCTAGCTAGTTCCATTGTTAGGAGTCTGTACTCAGCAGTCAATGAAATATATTGTAATGCTTGCTTCTAAATGACATGACTACATTCAGCCTGGTTAAAATGTACAAACACAACGAATAACATGCTTTCAAGAAAAAGGAGTCTGCTAAGTTAAGCTTTTCTGTCAACTTGTCATGAGTAAAAACTAACATAAGTAAAATATATCTGGCAAAAATCAATGCATTCAGTCTATTTTGCTGGTGTTTTCACAATTAAAAACAGTGACCATTATGGTATTCTATTCTGTTTTGAAAGTATACGCACATGACCTCTTAATTATAGGTTTATCAGGATTCTACACAGACCATTACGTGACCCTTTGCATGAGATATAAATGAATGGGGTTAGAAAGAAAGCAAAATTCATACTGTCCAATATTTATTACCTGAGATCACTTTGGAAGCTGCAAAAGAGAAAAATTCACTAAAGACAAGACAAATAAGTTCAGCGTATAACCTAAATAACATTTGCATCCAGATCATTTTTTTCCATTCCAAACTGTCGATTATAAGTATGTAATCAAGTACTTGTAGTTTGAAATGGCATTAACTCATTTTGTCCTCATGGAGTAGATCTCCACTGCATTCAAGACCAAACCACTTGATTGTGCAAACAGCTGTCATGCTGGCTCACACACAGTTTCAACAATCTTGAGCCAACTGGCTCACCAGCTAGGAAGATTCCAGCTTCAGGTTTTGTTTAGTATGTTGGAAATATTTGTGGATTTTTGCATAATTTTTCTCTTTTGCTTACTTTTTCACTTTTCTTCTACATATTGTTCTCCTTTTTCATTTTCCTACTTCAGATCAATCACTCTAATCCTGGACCAAGCAAGGTCCATGTGTTGGTTACTTTCTTTGTCTTATCCCTGCTATTAATATGTTCCAAACAGGATCTCAGGCTGCTCACTTCACTAAATTCAGACTAAATTATACACTCATGATGTGGCTAAGGTTTAGGACAAGAATCAGCACTGCAAACAGCATACTTTCTAAAGTGATGAGATTTCAGTGTATTAATGTTTAACCAGAACCTTGAAAGTTGAATGTTATTGTCCTATGGCCCATTTCCTTCACAATTATCATATGGTACGGTCAGGATGTTCTTCAGTGTTACATACAGTTGGACAGAATTTGAAGAGTACAGTGCAGAATAAAACAATGTAATTTTTTATCACTGCTGTTGAGGTTCATTCCAGACATGTACAAAGGCTTCAGATTTCAAATAAGATGTAGAGTAAATACAAGGAAGTGGGCACATGTAACTAATGAATGGCACAGAGAAATACAGCCAAAAGCAAATATAATTCTTATGAGGAAGGATAGACTTGAAGTGCTGTAAGGATTCCGACTAGTGGACAAAAGCCACAGATGCTAATCTAAGGCCAGACTTATTCTTACCTTTATGAAACACAATTCTTCCTTTTTTGAAATATATTTAGAAATTTAAAAGACATGTTAAAATAAGATTTAATTACAAAATATTTTATCTTGGGCATTTGGACTGTTTATATTGTAAAATAAACTTACTAAAATTCTTGATATACAATATTTTAATTATCAACATAAAAAAAAATGGCCACTAGTTTTCAGTTGCTTTTTTAATTTAATCACTTTAGTCATTTGTTAACAGCGGAAACCCCATCTTGGGTTTATCTTATGGTGTTACAACACAGAAGAATTTATTCAAAACTGAAACTTCCATATTCTGTAAATCAAGCAGTAAACTTTAAATGTGATAGATGGTCTTGGACGTTTTTACCATCTTCTACTTACTTTTTCAAAATAACTAAGATGACAATTGACAAAATGCAGGGATAAATACTACTACTTCCTGCATAGGAGAAAGAAAAAATCATGAAAAATCTAGTTTACTATACAGACCTTATCTGAAAGCCTAATTTCTTTGGCAGTGATTCAGTCACCTAATGAAAGTAGTAAGACATAATTAGAAAAAGCACTGATAAATTTTCCCTTATGATTTATATGAAAGTTATTTTATGGAAATTAAAAATACAGCTTTATTCACATAAAAAATGAAGCCAATTTCTGTCATCAGGGGAATGTGCTCCCTTTGTCCACTGTATCTACATTTAATTTGAATGCTAACATTTTAAAGAGATCTGATAGCGTTTTACAGGGCAGCAGAACTGGTGGGGATGGTTTTATTGCAGTCTGAAACAATTCATAGCATATGGCTTATGAGGAACTTTTTTGTTAGCATTTATTTGCCATACTTACATTTTGTCTATGACCAATCCCTGCAGACTTGACACTGTTTTTTTCTTAACGGCATTTCAGAGAGATATTATCATTATACACTGATGTGTCTCTAGGATATTAAAAATCATGAGTATGTGGTTATATGAAGGAGGGTATAAGCTATGAAATTAATTCAGGTGTTTTTATTATTGCTTTTCTTTGTTTTAATATTCTACAAAAATGTTTTGAGAGATTTTAATTAGATTACCCTGAAGTTATGACCTGACTAAATTTAGTAGGTGGTATTCTCTGACAAAGAAACTTGTATTTGAAGTGTAAATTCCAAAGAAAAATGTAAATACCAAATAAGCTTTTCTGACAGCATCTTGCTCTTTTTCCAATTCGTTGGTTTGATTTTTCTTTGATTCATACTTGCACGGTTTGGTGCAACATTTGCATGGTTTGATGCATACTTGCATGGTTGGACTAGATGATCCTGTAGGTCCTTTCCAACCTTGTGATTCTATGATTCTATGATTCAATAGCATAAATAATTTTTTTTTTGCATTGAGTCACCTCACTCAATCAGATGCATTCTCTGTTTTAAAATGGAAAAAACACTGCAGATGCCACAAATTAGAAGAAAACTTCTTTTCTTTCTTTTTATTTTTATTTATTTATTTATTTATTTATTTTTCTGAAGGACTAGCAGAGAAGAGTGAAAGTGCTTATTTTATTAATCTCATTATCCTAGCTCACGTTAGGCCTTTCATCTCCCCACAACAGCTGCTGCCTTCTTCTCAACAAATATGGGGTATAGATGGTAAGCTTTGCTTTAGATTGAATCGACCTAAAGCTGTTTCCCAATGAAGAGCCACTGATGCTTTTGTCCAAGCCTCCGGCTTAAAATGTAGAAATTTTTATTAATAAACTTGGCTATTGAAGGTCAGCATTTTCAGTACCAATGCACTTTGCACAGATTCCTGATTGCTGCTGCATGCATTGATACACATATCATTCTCAAGTAATTGATTTGCATGGCTTCACTGCTACAAGAGCTCATAGGGCCATGGCCAAATTTAGCATGTGTTTTTAAGAAATATGGCTGTTTGCATTTTAAATATCAAATTATCAATATGTTTTTTATCTTCCTGGACATTTCATTGAAAGTTTTTGGAGGTAGCCTTGCTGTTTGAAGTGAAATAGTTCTAAATAGCAAAATATGCAAGCAATTGAATGAGAAATCTAAAATTTTCAGAATTATCTTTAGATTTCTGCTACTCCACACACCTGTGTTTGGTTTCTGCCATCCGAATACTCAACCAAGCACTAATAATCTGAAGCCTTTGCACCACCAAACAGGAGACCTGACATTTGTACAAAGAAAAAAGAAACAGAAAATGGCTTTTCCCTGTTACATTAACACCTGGGTTCTTGTGTCAGGAAGTCGAAGTCCTACCAGACCTCCACATACTAGAACAGTAGAAGCAAGGAGAATAGGGATTGCTTTGGTGATACCAACAAGGGAACCAAATATCAAGTTTCCAAGTACAGCCGCTGCTTTGCATAGTGCATTCAAAAAGCCAAAGCCGGTTGCCCTAAAAGAAAACAAACACACAAACAAACAAACAAACAAAAACAGGATACATTTACATGTGCATACAAGATTAAAAGCCTTTAAAATAAATCTTGAGTGGAATAAATCAGTGTAGGCCCAATACCTTACACAGAAGTAATGCCAACAAGGATTCTGTACCTGGTCTTTTTTTATGTGAAATTCTGTTTCTACTGCGGCAGCATTTTATGGAGACAAATTTATTTTGCCCTCCAGAAATCACAATGGGGAAATAATGACTTTGTACTTTTACACAACAGCAAAACCTGCAGCTGAATAGAAATGGATTTCCTATATGTAGTATGCACATTCACTGAGTACTTTTGCAAAAGGCCACTGAGACCTGTAATAATAATGATTGGCTATCTCTTAGGAGCAAGGAGCATGAGGCTTTAAAAAAGCCCTGTTTGGGACAGAAGACCCTGAAAATCTTATGAAAAAAGGAGTATGGTATGAGAAACTCAGCAGGGCTTTTGCTTTGTAGAGCAAAATATTTGGTTGCCAACCTGTAAATGCATTATGCAAACTGCTATCATTTTAATAAAATGTGTTATGACATGACCATATGATTCATAATTGCAAGAATAATCTTGTCCTAACAAAATGTTCTAACAATATCATTGGTAGAATGGTAGAATCTCTAACATTTCTCAAATCTCAAGAAGTGAAAGGGAGAAGGAGCTCACACTGTGCTCACTGGGACAAAATAATAGCACTTAGGAGGATAGAAGCTTTTTTTTTTAGAAAACCACATCTCTACATTGTTAATATTAAGCTCTTTTTATTAGAAGGAAAAATGCCTCCAGTCTAAGCAGAAAATATTAACATAAATACTAATGGATTGAGTGACTAAACAGTTACCTAGTTATTATACTGAGACTCTATGTAAAGAAATGGAAATCTTCTACTCATACACAGTCTGTACTCCTAGGAAGTATGTATGACAAATGTCTGCTACTGCAGGGCAGTGCAACCAAGCAAGATCTCTCTGAGAGCACACTATTTTTTAAATCTTGCTTGAGAATCTTCCTGCAAGGGACATGTTTGCAGCAATTTCTTCAAAATGCTCTCCTCAGAAGAGGAATGATTAAGACTTTTGGAGAAATAGTTCAAAGGAGCACTGGGAGATGTGCTAATGGAAGTAGTGAAGAACCACACTTCTGGAGTAAGTATACTTTCAAAGCCTGTTATCAAGTGTCAGTTACAGACAAGTTGGTACCATCAGGCCACACAAAGCTCAGTATCAGAATACCTGGAAGAAATGGTCCAGAAAGGAAAGAAACTCCTAATAGGTAAGGATCTCCCAACTGATACATCTTCTAGGGTGACAGAGAGTGGAGATAGGAAGGAGGAACAAGCAGAGGAAAGGATGTGGCAAATAAGACTTCATAGAATCATAGAATGGATTGTGTTAGAACGGACCTCAAAGATCAAGTTCCAACCAAGACTTTATCACAAACAGAGAGGAAAAGGTTAAAAACAAAAGAGATAGAGAGAATAGAGAGATCTTAGTATTAATATTAAAGAAAAATATGAAAGTTCTGTAAAAACATCAGGTCTGGTAGAAAGTTAAATGTCAGAGAAAAAGAATTTTACCAAATGTATTTTATGTCAGGTGGTGGGAAATCTGTGACAAAGAAAAACAGTGAGCTTCCTTTCACCCAAGCCCAACATAACAAGCGGCAAGAATCCAAAGTTAAAAATAGAAGGATTATCCAAGCCTTCAGATTAAAAGAGATTGCTTCCTAGTTGCCATGTATGCTCCTTCTTAGACAAGGTGCTTGTTTATCGAAATAAAATAGTTTAAAATCACTTTTCCATTGCTTATGGAGCACCTCAAAACTTAATTTTCCTGTAACAGAGTACTACTGAATATACATAACATGGACATTTGATATCCTTCTTGCCAGAGCTGGTGCTCAACCTACCAATCACTTTACAATAGACTCAGCATAGCATTTTTGTGGGGGTTGATAATACACAAATATTACGAAAACAAGAGTTTCTGAATGTGCTATTGATGATTTTCTACTGATAAAACATTTTTGGATTTTTTAATAGTCAGTACACAAATGCATATCATTGGCTTACCAATTACAGCATTTAGTGTGCAAATAAAACAAGTTAATGTACCTTCTTCCCTTACAATTGCCTAAGAAGCGGCATTGGTGCTGCATTTCTTACCTTAAAAACACCACCTTTCAATTTCAGCAAAGTGCAGTTGAACCACATCCACAGGATGGCAGTAGAAAATAGCTGCCAAGGAATCTACAGTAGATTAATGACTGCTGTTTTGACTCGAATAGAAAACTTCTCTTCTGACAACGAGAACAATAAAAAGTTGGACTTAAGGCATTTGGAGAATAGGGTTTATTTCTCTTGGGATGGATTCTCAGGGCTTCAGAAGAGAAGAAAAAGCTAAATATAATGAACTGAAGATAGGTGACTTAATTCTTAATCATGACCGAACTCTTATGAACTTCTTTCAGAGGTATTAAAGCAGGCAAAACAGGATGAAATCATTTTATAGCACATCTTGAATTCTAAATATTCCTGGCCACGATTCAAACGCAGATGTCTGGCAGCCTTAGAAAACCTATGAATTGTTGGTTATCTGATGCAATCTGACCTTGATTTACTTTGTGGGAGATACAAGATTTCAATTTATTTATTGTGTACATTCCTGGACCAGAGCCTTGGCTTGTAAAGTTACTGCTTCCCAAATTCACAAGAAAACATTAAACATTCATATGAATAACGATTGCATTTTAAAGCGATAATAATCTCCTACATGTTGCTTTTTCATAAAATTTTAACTCCCTTCTAGTCATATTTGCATTAAGGGCAGAGCTAGGAAATTATGCAATGTTACTTCAAGCCCCTTGGGCACACACGTTACAGCACAATCCATAATTACCTCATCATTTTTTTTCCACATCACTCTGCCAATGCACAGAACAAAGACAGCTTGAGGGATAAAACATGAATCATGTAGTGAAGGACACTTGATTTTCCTCACATGTTACCGAAGATGGAAGGGGCACTGCTGGGTTGGGTCTGTATGATGAATAAGCAGTCTCAAGGATAAGGTAGCTAAGCGCTCTCAGGAGAAAGTACACAATCCCTATTTCTGCCACAGAATTCTATATGATGCTAACAAATCATTTAAGCTAACTAAATAGTCATTAATGTGCAGTTCAGATTTTCTGGCTGCTCAGCTTAGCACCTTCAAGTTGGTCTCGCCGAAGTGCTGAATACTTCCAGCTATAGTGAAAGTTATACTCTGAGCACATTCCCTCTTCTGAAATGCTAAGTGACAGTAATAACAGGTCCCAAAAGCAACAAATCTGGCATCTGAAGTCAGTTTTGGCAGCATTATCTTTCTCCTCAGTGCCATAATTTCTGCATCCTCTCTTTTCTAAGTAGCTCTCTGAAAATACACAACGCTTACAACAGAGTAGAAAATCACTCCATTGTCAAAGAGAAGAAACTCACTCGACACAAAACTGTTCACAAGAGGTTTAATAATTCTGCTTTAGAGAAAGACTTTTAGACCTATGGAACAATATGGTTTGGCTCTCAAGAGGGTTACAACAGACCAAAGACTTCAGAATCTGTTGACGGTGAATCCAGAAAAGCACAGGCCATTAAGAAGAGAAAACAAAAGATGAGATAAAAGATGAGATAACCTACGAGCTAGTAGATAATACTGCAACTTGACTAATTTTCTTCTTACTAGAAATTGGCTTATTTATGGCTTCTCATTGCTGTTGTGCTTTAAAATCCGTGCATTGAAAAGTACCTATCACATTAAATAATGTCATATATTAATCTTTAAACACTACCAAGTGTTTTTTAACTGGAAGAGTGAAACCTACCTATGACTAATATTTGTAATATATCTTCTACCTTCTAACACAACTTTTTTATCTGTCTGAAAAACACTCGACATGTTTACAATCTTGAAGTCTCTTATTTTTGCCATTGTGAAAATTAACTCAGAGTTCATAAAGAACATACGAGCTAAACTTATGTTACAGTGTCATAAAATATAAAATAATAGAAACATCCAACTTGTAAAAGACCTTCAAGATCATTAGACCCAACCCTCAGCCAGACATACCAATCCCACCACTAAACCATGTCCCTTGAGCGTCATGTTGCACGTCTCTTAAATACTTCCAGGGATGGGGACTCCACCACTTTTCTGGGCAGCCTGTTACAGTGCTTATCTGTAAAGAAATTCTTCCTAAAGTCCAATCTAAACCTTCCCTGGCACAACTTCAGGTTGTTTCCTTGCATCCTATCACTTGTCACTGGAGAAAAGAGGCCTACACCCACCTTGTTGCAACCTCCTATTGGATAGTCATTGTGAGCAACATCTCCCCACAGAAACCTCTTCTTCAGACTTAACAGTCATAATCCCCTCAGCCACTCCTCACCAAGTCTTGTTTTCTATCCTTCTTCAACTACACACTTATAAAAAACTTAGAAGAAACAACTGAATTGCTTCAAATCCAGACATTATATTTAAAATAAATATAGATACAGGTGATTTGGAATGCATATGGAATTCAAATCTCTTAAGATTTTGAAACAACCTTTGAACTGCATTGTGGGCAAGTTATGAAGAGGAAACAAAAGCATGTTCTATGTATCACAAAAACCATTTCCAAATTGTTCACCAAATCCCTATCTGTTAGAAAGCCAGTACAGTCTCTTGTAAATTATTTGGAGTATGATCTCAGAAACACCTTTTGTAATGGCCTGCATGACTCTGGCAAAGCCCCAGTAGCTTGGCAGCTCGCTGATTTCCAAAGAGAGTTGAGTATGAGGAAAAGCAGGGGTTGCTCAGTTTGGTCTCCTGCGCATGTTAACATGAACTGACCTCCTTTTACACACTTTTCTTCTAGACCATCTTTCAGCTACAGCTGCTTTGTGATCATTTCATTGGTTGAGAGTAAAGAAAAAGTATGTACTGGAATAGTAAAACAGCAATGCAGTGAGCACCTTTGCCTCAATTTGAAAAGTCATGGGTAGGAAACAGACTTCTGGAATGGCTCATTTCCTTGTAATTCCACTAGGTAAAAAATGGTTGTGATTGAACCAGAAAACCCATCTTCAGTTTGTGTCAGCAATGATTTTCTTGGATCAGGTAGATTTGGCCTGCTTGCCCTGATAATATAAAGTGATAAGCTTTCTATCTAATCTGTTCCAAAAAATATCCCAACAATTCAGCTACCAGCGTACTTTTGAATCAGGGTTCCGTGCAATTATTATTACACATGTAAGATTATTAAAAAAGAAGAACATGGAAAAAATTACTACAATCCCATATCTTGCAGAAACTATTAAAAACAATCACTGGCTACTAATACAGGTACCCTAGAATAAATACCAGTAACACAGTTCTAATCATGACTAGCAACGATGAATTATTTTTCTTCCATTAACATACCGATGGGTTTTCCAATTATTTTTCTTTATTTAATTTTAAGAAAATGCTTGTGTCTGCTATGTTTAGGAATGCCAACAAAATAACTTATAATTATATCCTTATAAAGGATATTCATTAGAATTGTACCTTAGTATTTGACTGATTAAAAAGCTCTTGCAGAAGGAGATTCCCTGAGGTAATAAAAGTAGTCATGTTTACAATTAAATCTTAGTGTTTTGGATTCGTGAGTAGCCTAGTGTAGTTGTTTTGATATAACAACAACAATGGACATTAATTTCTTCTATAAAGAGGCACATGCTCTTTAAAAATTGAAATGAAAAGAAAACTTATTCAACTGGTCTACAGTTTTTCTCCCTTAAAGGATAATGCCAACATCAATTACATCAGTGTTGACAAACTCAGGCTTGCCAGTAAGTTGCCCAGCATTTATAAACTTCTGGAAATGTTTTTCACTTTATTTGAAACTTCGATTGAGTGACATGAGAAATAGCACAGTGATAAGAGAAGAGACACACTGTGATTTGGCAGAAAACTAGAAAGTTTTACTTTTTTTTTTCCTCCAAGGAAAAACAGGGAAAATGTCCCAGCCTATTTGCAGTATTTTCGTGATTAGGTGGTATTTGTTGTGAAAGACATACCAAATAGCTAAATAATCTTTTTTTTTCTTATTATTGCTAAGACAAATTATGATTTTAATCCATCCAAAACATCACTATTGCTGTAAAGCTCATACTTAACTATTTATCTTCATCTGCTGATAGCAAGGTTAAAGGACACGTATCTTTACATACCTTCTGTCTGTAGGATACAGCTCTACAGTAATGACATCAAGAGAGTTCCAGGCTGAGATGGTGAGGCCATTATAGAGGCACAACATACCTATCATCATGGATTCACTGGTCCCAAACCACAGAAAGAAACAGCTTATGCCAGAGAGAACCATGGAACCACCTATGTATGAGACGGAAAAAAAAAAGAATTTGAAGTGGAACTGTACTTGAAATAATGACTTTGCTTTGCTTTGTCTAACATTTTATTCACAGAATGTAGCAAAATAAATGTCTCATATACTTGAGTTAAATAAAATAAAGAAATATCCTTAAGAAGAGAAAATGTCACTTCGTACGAAAAGCTTTGGGCTTGGGGATTTTTCCCATTTTAAAGTCAAGTCCATACCTAGCATTGTTAAACGTCCAATTCTATCCATCAGAAGAGCAGAAACAATGTTCCCCGGTAACACTGCCAACGTTCCCAGAAAATTAACAAAATAAATCCAGTAGGCACTATAGTCATCATCAAAGGAAATCTGGCATCCTGTCCTGATGTGAAAAAATGTGCAATTTATAAAATCACTGTCAACAAATTTATATTGCTCGAGATCTGTGGAAAGAAGAAAAAAAAGTTTTCAGCCAATAGTTGTTCACCTTTTGATTAAAAACACTGCAAATTTAGACATCCTTAATGACAGCTAGGAGATTTTACTGCTTCGTAAAATGGCACTAGTTACCACTGTTAATTTTGATAGCCTTTTGTCTGAATAGAAAGATACACAAAGGTCATGAAGAGGTCATCGGAGACCCTGAATTAGGTCAATTATATCAACATAGTTCAATCCTGTTTGGACTACATTTGCTTTGGACCTTCTTTAACGGGCTGGCCTTCCATAAAAAGCACAGGATTTCTGCAGGTTTTTATCAGTCATCATTTCCATTGTTCCACAGTCTTGCTTGGTATCAGACCTATGTTTTTCATACCTTTTAGAGAGAACCTCTCAGATAAAACAGCCGATAACGATTATTTTGAGTTCTCTTAAAAGAAAATGTTCATGCAGATTTCAGATTAAACTTGTTTTCATTCCTGAGAGGACAGTTTGGTTTTCAGCTCCATTCTGATCTGAAGAAAATGTACTAAAAATGTATCTGACAAAGTGATGCAATTAGTTCTTTGTTTATCAAACTGTTTGACTAATTGTGAGCTCTGCAATCTCAGCCTAAGCTGAGACTGTTTAAATATTCCTAATTAAAGCACAACTAACCACAGACATTTCTGACTTCCATTTTTTAATAGTTCTGTGTCTAGCTAATTATTTTGAAAGCTATCAGTCAGAACCTGTTAGGATCTATCAGATGGTCACTACTCTACCATGACACTGGTGACATTCTCATGCATTTCTGAATAAGAATGCAGTTGCATTACTACATGCAGTGGTTCAGGCCATTCTTTTTTAAATAACATTTCAGAGGTCTCTCCTTTTGTTTCCTCCTTTATTTCTTCTCTTCTCATCAGCCTTAAAATCCTTATTCAAGAGTACATTTCTTCCAAATGAAAAAAGCTGGGCATTGCTTGTCCTGAAGCCTAGCTCTGTTGCTAATACAAGAGCTACAGAAAAGCATTAAAATTGCTGTCTATCTTTGAACACAAGCTTTCTTGGCAAGATTCTGCTTTTCCTTATAATGTACAAAAATTGGGGAAAAAAAAACAAACAAAAAACACACACACAAAAAACCCACAACAACAACAACAAAAAAACCCACACAAGTCTTAGAATGTTTAGTAGATTGGAAATGATGAGATAGTATGAATCCTGAACTTGCTCTCCCATGCTACAGCAGGCACAATATACTTTCATGTCTTCTAGGCCAGAATAAAATACCTGATTAAAGCAACCTGTTTCTTCTCTTCAGATTGGATATCTTTAGGAATCTTGAATATCTTTAGGAATGTTGAAAATCAAAGAAAAGTTTATTATCTGAGTCCATATTAGGCCTGCAGTATTTCAGATGGAGGTGTGATCCTTTCTCTTCTGATACTATTTACTATTTCTACTACTACTCTATTTAGTGAAGCCTGTTGATTTTACAGCTTTGTATTCCCTACAGGAAGGCTTCCTGTATGCATTATCAGAATTTATAATCACATCATAAAAATTAAATGAGAATATGCAGATGAAGAGTGCAGGCTTTTCATGTAATACCTGTGTTGTAGAAGGTGGTATTCACAAAAGTGCAGTTCCTGAAGTATGTATTCAGGGAAGTTATGTCTTCAAACACACAGTTCTTAAAAAGTGAATCTTCAAAGGTTACTGATTTAAACTTCATCATGACAAACCTGTCCAGCACAAATAATTTGTATCAGATTCCTTTCACAGATTAGAAACAGCAACAGGTCCACTTGAGGCAGTTACACAGATTTAACAGGCATCCTTCTAAGAAATCACACCTCCAGAAACAATGATTATTTAATGAGACTCAGGAGATGTAATAAATGATTAGCTGACTCTGGAATACTCTCTTTCAGAAAAAGGACTAATAAAGTACATAGCTGCACATAGCTGCTGGCCATAACAAGTGAAAGTATTTCCATGAGAATAGTTCAATTATGTCGTGACATTTGTGCAACAGTCTTGTAAAATGAACAGTACTTGCAATTTAACATTACCGTCATAAATTGGGATCTCAAACACCAGAAACCCAGCCTCTTGGAACAAACAAGCACCTGTTGTTACCAAAGAGCTGGAAAGAAAGAATTTTTGAAAGAACCTCTACTTCTCCAGAAAAATACACTGAGCACTGTGCGAGGCTCAAGTCCAGAATGTACCCATTCAAGATTTAAAAAATGGTTTAGACTGGTTTACCATTATCACAACAATTATGCTGGCATTTTATACAACTAGATATCTAGCTGAAAGGATGGGTTTCCTAGCTCTGTCTGTGAACGTAACTGCAATTATTTTCTGCATAAGACATGCACAAATGTATTGTCAGCAGCTTTTTCTATTTCTGAACATCCTTGTTCCTTCTGACCTTTATTTAACTCTTTGGTTTTTGATCATGACTATCAATCAAGTTATCAATAGATGAAGTTAAGGGCAAATAATTTTACTAGTAGTTACTTCCTAACAAAAATTTACTAGGCTTAAAACAATACTGTAAGACTTTTCCATTGTACTCTTAATACTAATATCACGGTAACAAAATTGAAAAAAAAGACTGCTGTAGTAATATAGCAGCATCTTTCCAACATACTTCATTTTACATAGAGGTCTGGAAAAAGATGCGATTAAAGATGTACAGTTTTGCTGGCAGACTTCATTCAAAGTGGCAGCACTTCAAAAAACAATCTTTAACTGTTGCGTAAGAACTGTTAAAATAGCAAACCCTTCCAAACATAGATCTGATTCTGTTCTAATTAAACCTGATGTGATCAGCTAATTATTTGTCTTACTATTAGTCTGATGGTAGGAACAGCAGTACACAAAATATGTTACATTTTAAACAGTAGGAATTACACCCTCAGCAGTGATGTTTTTAGAATTACACATTGACAAGAATGTATAGCAAGAACTAATTATGATTATCATAGAAGAAGAATTACTAGCCAATGATTCTCTTTCTGTATTGGTCAGAAAAGCAGGTGTTCTCAGCCGATTAGTTTTACTTACTCTATCATTTCTCATTTCCAACACTGGTTATAATCAGGCTGGCGTTCAGTATCAACTTATTAGCATTTTATATATAACACTCTCCATTTAAAAAATTAACTTAATATCAGAGGAGAACAAAGAGCATTTAGCAATTAGATTAGTCAGATGTAATAGGAAGGACAGACTGCATGTCCTACAAGCTCCTGATGCACATATCAAGTTTTGACAGGAAATATGTTGTGACTACATTAAAAATGGAATCACAGCGATCTGAATTCAAACCAAACAGAAATGTAATGAAGTAAAAAGTGAAGTATTACAGTATCTTCCAGCTGAAGGAAACACTGAAATTAAGAGTGACAGGAATACAGAAACATTTGTGGATAAAGACTATCAAAAGAGTTCACCTTACTGCTCAAAATAGCTTGTGAATCTCAAATAGCTGTCTGATGCCTGTTGAATTTGCATACTTGCAAGTGCTTTTGAGTGGATTAGTACTGGACTTAATGTTTTACAGTAATTTTTAGTTCAGATTAATAAGATTTTTGTTGACAGAGTACAAAACATCTAAAACTTACTGACTGTAAGTGGTTCTTTGCTGTTACGAGAACAGATGTCTCTTGGAAAGGAACTGGGATGTAATTGTTGGTTTAAAAATGAGATAACTGGTCATTTTTGTCTGCAATGCATAAGTTGTGTCAAAACTTGAATTCTTATCAAAGAAAAAGAAAAGCCCTCAATTAATAAAATCATTATTTTTATTTTTTATATATATCTTTTCATATGGAAATAATAATTGCTTATCTCCATGTTATCCAGGAGACCAATCAAAGGTGGTTTTCTTTATCTCTTAAGAGAAACCAGACGCTTAAAACAGCTGTGTTTAACTGTCTTCTAAGTTACCTAGTATCCATAAAAGTCTAGTTAGAGCCTTAATAAGTATACATTCAGTTTAAAAGAAAAAAAGACATTGCCAAAGTGTTGTCCTCCCATTTTAGAGCTGCTTTGGACTAGTAATTAATTTCTGTTTTCCTGTGCTAAGATCTTATCCTCTCAATGTTTCTTTTCAAAGAAGCATCTTAAATCAATACAAATAAAAAATAGCAACGTTAATGAAAGTACATCCTTCCTCTTCTTCCTGCAATGTTGTGACACATGCCGGGTCTGAAAACCTTTGAATCCCACTGTGAAAAGAAAGACTGTTAATGTGAGCTTTCCGGTCCTCTTTTCAGTCTGTTTTCAGGAGGGCAGGGAGCAATGTTGGCATGAGGGATCCAATACTAAAGTCAGCAAGGTGCACACAGGAGCACTTCTCATATACCAACATACTATTCAAAACTGAATTATGGTAAACTGTATGAGATTGAGAATAGAGACATTAAAAAAAAAAAAAACAACAACAAAAAACTAACAAAACTATCAACTACCAGTTGATAGGGGAAAATGTTATATTAATTGGACTTCCCAGAATACATGCATTTGTTTATCATTAAGACAACTATAAACCTGTCATTGATGTATTCTCCGCTGCTATGAATTTGATTTTCCAGTGTAAAGTTGAAGACAAAATTTGAAACCTCCTCGTTGCGGAAAAGTTTCACTCGGGATGCATACTCATCTGATTGAAGGTGTTTAATGACATCAGGAAACCAGACAGATAAGCCATTGTAGCTGTGAAAAAGAGAAAATGCTGTTATGTCCTGGGGTCTGATCCAGCGGGACCACAGTAGGGCTGTGCTGCCAGAGCTCTGATCTGCCATGGTCCACACATCTTGGATTTTCTCTGTTACCATCCCTACCCCTCTACCTGTTTCTGTCCCAAAGGGTGGTGTTACTACTTGTCCTGCTTCTTGCTGGGCAGATGAGAAAGACTCAGACAACAGGCCCTGTCCTGACACAGACTGGGAAGTCCTATCGGCATCCAGACATGAAGAATAAAGCTCTTCATAAACTGCAGACCGTGGGAGCTGCAAAGATTAATCTTTTTCTAGTGTTTGTTTTAAATTTTGCCTTTAGACACAAACAGGCAGACTAAGAGATTCTAAACGGCGTGTAAATTAAGCCTAACCTGAAGACTCACTGAAAAATAACTTGAAGAATATGAACTTACTTTCAAGTTATGGCACAATGTTCATATTTTTAAAATGTTGAGACAATCACAGTCCTTCTGTGCTTGTCAACTGCCTGTATAAAAACACTGAAAGATTTCAATATCAGAAGACGCCAGTGTTCTAAGATAGACATCCTCTGAGTCAGGTATAGACCAAGAATAGACTATACAATAACATTTTTTATAAAGTTACTGAATAAGGACTTTAAAAAAAAATAAAAATCCGAATGACAGAGATTTGCATGCAGATGATTCTTCTGTCAAGTCCATAAACAACGATTCAGGATCTCAACTGCTCTTACCCAAAGGACAGGGTGAACCACACAATTGTGAGCTTGACTGTATTGTCCTTTACCGGGTAGTTGAAGCATCTCATGAAAGTCAACCAAATCTGGAAAGCAGTAGGAAATACACTCATTTTAAATTGTATTTTGAGTAGTTCTGTTAAATGGTACAAGCTTCTTTATTCTGATTTGCTTGCTCCCTCAGGAAATCAGAGAGAGTGGGTGATCTTGTTGACACAGAACTGGTAGCTGTATTTCTGTTACAAGTCTGTCTTCCAGCTTTCACCAGCTGATGTACATTCTATGCCTTTCTTGTTTCTTTTCACTTTGTCCATTAATTCAGTTGCTCTCTGACTACATAGAACTGTGTTATCCTTTATGCTGCCTCATTCACTATCTTAAATAAGTATGTCTCAGGAGCATTTCCTTCTCACCTGTGAAAAACTTTCTTTTAACATTTTCAATGATGTGGACTGCTTTTTCTGTTTTTTTTTTTTTGTTTTTTTTTTTTTTTGTTTTTTTTTTTGCTTGTTTTTGTTTTTTAAATTAATAAGTATTCACTCAACTTTCATTTCAAGGTTTGACAATACTGCATAATTTTGATTTTACAAAAAAAAATTGGAGCAGGATCTCAATGCGTATGTATTAATCTTTTAAAATTATCTCTAACGTAGTTTTCTTGTAAAATATCTGACCTATTAAAAATATATGCATATTCAATTGCTTACAAGGCTTTACTGACATCCATTTACACAAGTTATTCATGACTTTACCATTTGTAGGTAAAGACTTTCATCACGTATCACCTCTTCACATGTGTAGATATTAATAATACGTTCAGTACAAATTATATTGTGGAGATTGAACAAATGTCAGCAATCACTTCTGTAAAGGCCAATGAAACATTTTTCTCCTCTGAAGTTACAATGAACACCTGTGATTCATCTATGCTTTTTCTGGCCCAGGAAACTTGAATCTTACACTGGTTACTGACTTTTCTAGTTGCATGGAAAATGCAGGATTGCAGTTATTGCAAGCATTACTTCAAAAGAACTTATTTCATTTCTGAATGCTAATTATAAAAGATAATTGCACAACAAATAGAGATGTTGTTACTTACACCATATAGCTCTGTGCGAATTCTAACAAAACACCTCCTGTACCAAGTTCCTGTATCACTCTCTATTTCTATGAGCTCATCTATCTGCTTCGGAGTTTTAATTCGGTTAACCTAGAAATAGAAACAGAACAGCAAATATTTGCATTTTCTTGAAGCACTGAATTGAATATCAACGAATATTAGAAGGTTTTAATAAATCCCATAAACCAAAAATGAACAGATATTAAACCAGTGCTTAGATTAGGAATGTTTTGGAAACACGAAAGAACATGCCCACTTTAATCACAATGGTCATTATGAAGGGTATTGGAAAAGCTCTACTTTCAAACCATGCAGGAAATCCTTTTCCTTTGATTGAAACAAGATGTTACTGTGGGGTTTTGCTCAAGTTTTGCTGTACATACCTCTAATTCCATGAAGGATAAAATGTTATTTAAACCTTCAGCTAAGCATGCTCAGAGTTTGATAATTTTTTCTGACTTGCCATTAACACATCACTGAAGGCCTATTGATTAACTATACAGTAATGATACAGAAGCATTTGAAATATCAAGAATTAATACTTGAATGGCATTTTTCTTTTGTTCTTATTTCCTGTAGTAGCAGACAGGGAACTCTCTGTGTTTCAGATGCGCGCTTTAATTACCCTTTTTTAAGGAGGAGAGAAAGAATTAGGTGAAATGGGCTGGAACTGTGCATGTTATTGCTGTTATGAGCAATTATCTTCTGCATCTAAATTGAAATAAGATGAACAAACATAAAGGAAAAATACAGAAATACCAGTGACAGAGAATGTAATGCTGCTTACAATGCTGATTTTATCTTGCATAATGAATTGTAGGAAAATAAAAATTTTTAATATGGTCTTATCTATTTCTTGACCTAATGAATATACTATAGAATAGTTTAATCTGTCATTCCAATAATAGCAAAACACAGCGTATTCATACACAGTTCATTTAAAATAAAGATGAATAGAAAGCATAGAAAGAAAATAAGTAGAATGGGGAAAGTGACAGATATATGAGAAAGAAAAGACCAACAGACGGGGTATTCAATTTTCGGCTGCTGTTTCTGGCAGCCAAAATAGATCCTATTTCTTAAAAAAATGAGGACACCACCCGCAGATGTATCAGGGAATCACAGAGTTGTTGTATTAATGGTAAGGTTCTAGTTTTCAGCCTACTGCTTTTTCAGATGTATTATGTTTAAGAAGGACCAGCAGCCTCATCCCATTAATGGAAACAAAACAAAGCTCACTAAGTGGTGTTATCTATAACCAGCCTAATTTCTGAAATAAAAAATCTCACTGTCTTGCTAAACTATTATATCCAAAATCTGAAACCTTCTCATCATGCCTTTTCCAACAGCAATAATTCTGTCTCTATCATTTATTTGATTTTAGATTTTTTAGAGTTTTTGTGAAATGTTTTGTGCAAAAGACTTGGTCTAGATTTAGAGTTGAGTCCTCTAATATTATCAAAAACCTTGTACCATAAAAACTTCCTCAAACATTTTCATGCTACATCTCTGAGTGAAAAGAGCATTTTGAATAATACTCTTGGAGTTAGCATACTTCATGAGCAAGCAGCTGAGATGCAGCCTTTTCAGTGTCCAGGCCACCTGATTTGTTTGGAGCAGTAAAGGCTGGGGGGATTATACATGTCCAAGACCACTATGTGTGACTAGGAAAAAAAAGCTTATGGCTTTGATGGTCCTTGAACACACAAAAAAGCTCCTATAGAATCCGAACAATGGTCCATCTGGACCATGCAAATTTAGCTGTCATTATGTGAGGGATGAAGAATTGAGGGGGGCAGGGGGAGGTGAGGGAGGGAAGGGAGGGTGTGAATACCTATTTAAATGAAAAGAGAACCTCTGTTCAATAGCAGTGTGCAGAAATACATAATGTTTAAAATTCTACAGAATTTTCCTGAGAAGGAAAATATTAATAGGAAAATGAAAAGATTTTTTAAACAGAGCAGCGAAAGAATGGAGAGAATTTTGGTTTCTGAGGTAGAACGATTTTTATTTATTCGTTTATTTGTTTGTTTTTACTTTAGCCTTTAAACCAATTATCTAAGTAATGCATATTTTATGAACCGAGGGAGGAATTTAAGCATCTATATGAATCCTTAACAACTTATTTGAACTCTGTTTCATCTCAGAATACATTTTTGAAAGTATTTTGAGCTATTTCCACAAGTTCCACATTTTTTAACTAGATTACATCTAAATTGTAATTTCTGACTCTTAAACCAATTGCTCATCAATTGATGCATTTCTGTTCTAAAGGTTTGAAGGCAGATTCCACAGTAGAATAAGTAACAAGAATAAACAAGACTTGTGGAAAAAAAAAAAGAAAAAGCATCTCAAAAATGATGACATGAATTTGATTCAGGAAAACGAGTAAAACAAAAAAAGCACCCTAAAATTATAGAAATATTAAAGTTACACCAGCTGTTAGAGTAGAAAACACACCATCAAAGTTTATCTGCTTGGTGTAACTGTTGTCAGAAAGCAGAGGAGAAGGCCAACACTTAAGTTACACAATGATATTGACCTAAACCAGATGAAACTATGGAGCTCAGGAAAGCTAGGAGAATGACTTTTCAACACAAAATGTCACAGTGGCCAGTTCTTATTTAAACCAAGGAGAGACAGAGAGATAGACTCAAAGGATGTCTGGAATTCTTTGCACTGCGGGCTTAATACAATAAATTGCTAACAATTGTCCAATGAGGAGACGCATTTTCTAGTCATACTGCCACAAGCCTAGGTTTGGGGGTGTAGAGACTTCTGTCAGTGTGTATCCCTGGCATGCAATGTACTGTTTCTAATCAGCTCCTTGTTATTGTGTTTTCTCAATGGTCTAGGCAGAAACTGGCAAAAATCCCAAATAGTGATGTGATACTACAGCTGATCACTTCTCATATTTTTTTGCCCCAGCACATTTCTGTCTTCCTCCCTGTGCCTAACCTAATAATCTGAGTGGTGGGTAGCACTTAAGCTATGACTGACAGGCTCTGCAATGGATCAGTGAATAGCCATCTGCTGAATGTATAACGATTTCATAGGAACTCAATTCCTATACTTAGATATTTACAGTGCAAATTATTTGCTTTGCCATGCAGAGTAATAATATTGATTGCTTAAGCACTCAAGATCTCAACAGTCAGCAAGCTGGTTGATGAACCAGCTGGGTGGTGAATATTAAATGTAATAATACTCACTGTGAAGACTTTCTCAGGCTGACCACGAGCTCGCATGTTTGTGTCGTGAATTTGCTTGAGTATCATCCAAGCTTCATCGTGTTTTCCAATCTAAACATTGGATGAAAGCATAGCCACTGAACAATCTTATTGCCTGTTAGACAAATGTTACTGTGTAAACAGAACCAGAGAATCACAGAATCACAGAATAGCATGGCCTGGAAAAGATCTCTGGAGATCATTTGGTAAAACCACCTGCTAAAGCAGGTTCCCTATAGTAGATTGAGCAGGAAAACGTCCAGGTGGGTTTTGAGTATCTCCAGAGAAGGAGACTCCACAACCTCTCTGGGCAGCCTGTTCTAGGGCTCTGTCACCTTCAAAGAAACTTTTCTTGTATTCAGAGGAAATTCCTGTTCTCCAGTTTATGCCTGTTGTACCTTGTCCAGTTACTGGAGACTGCTGAAAGCACTATGGCCCCATCCACTTGATACCCATCCTTCAGACATATCTAAGCATTGATAAGATCCCCTCTCAGTCTCCTCCAAGCTGAACAATCCTAGCTCTCTCAGCCTCTCCAATGAAGGGAGATGCCTCAGACTACTCATCATCTTTGTGGCCATCAACTGGATTCTGTCCAATAGTTCCCAATCTTTCTTGAGAATTGAAAACAGCCCTCCAGATGTGACCTCACCAGGGCAGCATAGAAAGGCAGGATCACTTGCCTTGACCTTTTGGTCACTGTGTTTTAATGCATCCCAAGATACCAGGATACCAATAGTCTTCTTGGACACAAACACACAGTGCACCCAGTTCCTTCTCTGCAGAGCTCCTTTCCAGCAGATCAGCACCTAACCTGTACTGATGCATGCGGTTATTCCTCCCCAGGTATAGAACTCTACATTTGCCATTGTTGAACCTCAAAAGGTTCCTCTTCACTCAACTCTCCAGCCTGCCCAGTTCTCCTTGAATGGCAGCACAGCGTTCTGGTGTGTCAGGCATTCCTCCAAGCTTTGCATCATCAGCAAATCTGCTGTGGCTGTGCTCTGCCCTTTCATCCATGCCACTGATGAAGATTTTACATAAGACCAGAGCAAGTACCAAGTCCTGGGGAACACTGCTAGCTACACACCTCCAACTAGAGCATGTTCCACTGATCTCAACCCTCTGAGCTCTGCCAGTCAAGCAGTTCTCAGTCCACTATCCACTCACCTATCTCACACTTTCTAAGGTTATGTACAAAGATATTATGGGAGGCAGTGTTAAAAGCCTTGCTGAAGTGAAAGTGCAGAACATCCACTGCTCTCCTTGAAGGGAGAAGCACTCATGACTTCATAATAAGCTATCCAATTGGTCAAGCTTGATTTTCCCTTGCTGAATCCATGCTGGCTACTCCTGATAACATTCTTTTCTTCCACTTACTTGGAGATGATGCCCAGAATAACTTGCTCTAATACTTTCCAGGAACAGACGTGAGGCTAACTGGCCTGTAACATTCCAGCTCCTCCTTCTTGCCCTTTTTGAAGACTGGAGTGACACCAGCATTCCACCGGTCTTCAAGAACCTCTGCCATTCTCCATAGATGCAGGACAGTGGTTTGGTAAACAGTTCACACAGCACTCATGGTTACATAGTTACATTCCATTGAGGCCCATGGATTTGTGTGCATTGAGTCTGCCTAGGTAACCTCTAACCAAATTCTCCTAGGCTGAGGGGAATTCTTCCTTTTCTCAGACTCACTCTTATCTCCAGAGTACTGGAATTCCTGCTAGGTAGCCTTACCAGTAAAGACTGAAGCGAAGAAGGCTTTCAGTAACTGCCTTTTCAGTGTCCTCTATTACCAAGGCACTTTATTCAGCCCATGTTTTCCCTTTGCTGCTGATATAATTAAATATGTTTGGGTTTTTTTTTTTTCGTTTTTTTTTTTTGTTATCTGTGATGTCTCTTTCCAAGTGTAAACACAGAAACAGTTTTGACTGAAACCCAAAAAAACAAGTTGAAAGTTATACCTCCAGCAAGAACCGTGGACTTTCTGGCATAAAGGTGAGGGCTACCACAGAAGAGACACAGGGCAATGCACAGACGATCACAAATACTCTCCAACTGTGAAACTGATAAGCAGATCCCATGCTGAAACTCCATCCTAAGAAAGAAGAAATTCACAAATTTTCACAAGTATAAATGATTTCACAAGTAATATTACACTTTGAATTTCAATCTTATGCATGTCAACATGGAAGACATCCATACTATACAGAATGAGGATGAGGAAGTCTATGTCATGTTTTCTGGCAAAATCTGTATGAAAGTAGTCACAGTAATGGAGAAGGAATGCCTTGATCATACGTAAGACTTAACATACAGACAGGTAGTTTTGCTTGAATACTGGAAGGAGGGAGAATTAAAAATCTCTTACAAATACTAAGAGGATATATTTTGTTGATTTTTCTAACACTGGATGTTGCACCAGTGTGTCTACTAAATGAGAAACTTTTTAAAAAAATATTATCTTTTACTGACAAAATCAAAACCTATTTGTCTTCTTAAAATCTTCCTCTTATAAGCTCTTTTAAATGTTAATGAATATTGGGCACTGAGTTCTCACAGTAAATCATTAGAAAAAAAATGAAAAAAGCAGAAACAGTAGAAATTTGTGAAAAATATTCAAGAAACAGTGCAGAAAAAAATCTACAACAACATGCTTTTAGGCTGCTAGAAAGAGAAGCTCTAAAAGCAGAGTAAAGTACATGTTAAACTGAACTTCTTGGACCTTCTTCAATTTAGTATCTTGTAACTCAGCACT